AAAAAGACATTAAAGGTTAAACTTACATTTTAACACTACTGAGTTCAAATACAGATGTACATTCAAGAAAGTCATTGACAAAGCAATACTATCCTGGGTACAGTGATGAAGATGACAAAGGTGAAATTATCTCACACACAAAAAATTGTTGAAGGGAGGCCTCTAGTGGAATACTGTAAGGCTCCATCCTGGCTAATAAAGTCCCACAATTCTCTGAGTGCCTAATTCTGCAACAGGTACTCTGCACTGTGCTAGAACAGTGCTGCCCTATAGAAATATAATATAAGCTACATATGTGATTTTAAATTCTCATACCACATTAAAGGGAGTGAAACTAATTATAATAAAATATTTTTAAGTCCCACATTTCTAAAATATTATCATTTCATCATTATATGTAATTGATATAAAACATTATATCATTATATGTAATTGATATAAAAATTATTAGTAAGAGATTTTACATCTTTTTTTTTGGTACTAAGTCTTCAAGATACAGGATGTATATTTATAGCATGTCTAAATTCAGCCTACCCCCATTTCAAGGGTTTACTAGCCTCATGTGACTTATAACTATTGTATTGGACAGCACAGTGTAAGAGATGCTAACTAAATAAAACACATACATATGCACACGTGCACACACACACACTCCATGTGTCAAAATACACATGATGTAATGAGAGCCAAAACCCTATTGCATATTTTCAACCTTTTTCCCCACCAGGACCCAGAAGGAATGATTGACAAGTTCAGCTTTCTTTTTATTTCCTAAAAGTAAATTAAATGCAAAATGAGTTGGGTAACACCAAAGCTGTTAATATATAGAAAGAGTTCCAGTACCTTATCTACTTGTGTTAACGGATTACTTTGGACACACTCCCCAACTAACAAAGCACCATGGTTCTCTGCCATACTACAAATTTGACCTGGAGACAGGAACAGGTAGCATTTGGCTATACTTTAATAATCACCAGCAAAAAGAGAAGTCTCATGTGCCATATATGTACAAACATCCAATTTAATATCAATCTCTTTTACAAGTTGGTGTCTACCAAATGTCATGACAGGAAGGACACTGAGAGTCCATATTTATCCCCTTCTTGCTGGAAACTTATCAGAATACATGAATTATATCATTTCCTCCAAAAAGAAAGAGAAAAACACTTATGAACGTTCTAGATCCTACCCTAAAATTTGAAAATGGGGGGGAATGAGACTGTCCTCTTAGAACAATCCTTGAAATCAATACACAATAATACAGATAAAAAATTTGCAAAGTGAACTACAGCAGTCCACACCTTCCTAGGTAACATCTCCCAGGGAACATAAATAATTTGAAAAGTAGCCCTGCTGATTCACCTCCTTCCCTCCCACCCCAGCACCAGTCCCTTCACTGCCTCACAGGGACAGAATGGCTCCAAGGTCAGCAAGATGGAGAGTAGCTGGCTGAAGCTACAAACATCTCGAAAACAAGGGCACTGTCTATTAGCAGTGGGCCTCATCCCTACAGAAGCAGCAAAGAGAAGGGGCAAAACAGAGAGCTGACAGGTGTCCACATAAACACTGTTTGCTGGAAAGTTCTCTGGCTTAGGACTCAAGAATCAAAATTCAGACACAGGGGCTCCTACAACTGGAAAATGATGTATGATGCGCATGACTTTAACCACCGTGCTTGCCCCACTGGCTCCCTGGACTTAACCTTGGTCAGATGATCAGCAAGCAGACTTTTTTAAAAATATTTTTTTATTGATTTCAGAGAGGAAGGGAGAGGGATGGAAACATCAATAATTAGAGAGAATCATTGACACCTGCCTCCTGCATGTCCCCTACAGGGGATCGAGCCCGCAACCCAGGCATATGGCCTTGATCAGAATTGAACCTGGGACCCTTTAGTCTGCAGGCCAACACTCTATCCATTGAGCCAAACTAGCTAGGGCAGCAAGCAAACTTTTGATTGTAACTTAAGTTCCCAGGATAATCTGCCTACGGGGGTGGGGGGGTGGGGGTGCTAATCGAAACGTGTTATTCAGTTCACTTGGTTATTATCTTTTTCACCCTACACGGATAGCACTCTGACTCTTAATTAACTAGTCCCTCGGAGCTCAAACTACTCGGGGGACACTAATAAGTGAATTTCTCATCCTGCAAGCCACAAATCAGAGGTTCCTGTTGCTGTGTCTTTAGCACATCTATGAGCAGCCTTCTGATCTTCCCAGAAATTATTAAGTGCAAAGTACAATGATCTTCATATAAACTAGCCATTCTTATCTTAGAAGAGGCAGGAATTATTGCATTCTCTCACCCTCTTCTTGCCTGGAGACATTTCAATAGCCCCTTAATCCCAACCTTTTAAAGCTTCCTTGATTATATGACATCTTTTCCTTCCTGAAGAACTCTATATAACATGTTTATCTTTTCAACGAAAGTATATTAAAAAGAACATAATTTTTCCCCAGAATTCCTCAAGTTACCAGGAGTGCCGCAAACCAAAACTGTAGATCACAATATAATAGTGGGTGGAAGTGCTGTTTTTTAATCTGGGTGAAAGCTAAATGGGTATTTGCTCTATTAGTCTCACAACTTGAATTAAGTCTGAAATAGTTCACTCTTTTAATGTGGCCTTTTGCATGACTTCATGCAGTGCTTTGCACATTATCGGTCCTCAAGAAGCACTTCTTTGGGAAAAATAAAAAAAAGATCGAATGAATGAAATAAACCTTTGAACAAATCCACTTCAATATATCTGAGATAAGTTAAGATGAGCAACTAAAGTACTTCATTAATGACAACTATATTCATGTAGCCCCTTCGTTTTCCTTATCCTTAAGTAACAATAGCGATAAAAGAGATAGTACAAGGATATAAACAAGTACTTCTGTTTTTATGGACTATGTGACTTGAATGTTCTACATACATGGGAGACTTTGAATTGGGAAACTCAGGTTTGATATTCAAGTTTCTTTTTTATCAAGTCCCTTAAAATTCGGGATTTTAAAATTCACACGTCAAACAGGTACCCAGCAAGAACATGCAAGCCGAGCTCAGGGCCATACCATACCTTGGGCTGCGGCATCAGGGTGGTACTCGGGCTCTTCCTCGGGAGGGCTCTGCAGGAAGTAGAGCTGCTCGGGCAGCATGCTGGCGATCTTCTCCTTCCCCAGCACGTGGCTACTCAGAAGTGGGCTGACACTGCGTTTCACTTTCTCTCGCCTTTCATGGGCCATAATTTTTTTCGTCCGAGCCTTGATGTTCTCCCAGCACTTCTTCAGCTGTTTGAAATCCCGCAGTGACACACTGGGCTGGGAGTTGTACTCGTGCGCCAGCGCCTGCCAGGTCCGTTGCTTGAGGGCAATGGTTCGTGCATCACTTTTCTTACATTCCAGCACATACTTGTACTTTTCGACCAAAGCAAGCAGGATACTCTTTTCCAATTCTGAGAAGTATTTGGCAGGTTTTATAATTTCGTTGTTTTGCATTTTCCACTCTATTTCTCCTGGCCGTTAGCTATCCTGTAAAGGGAAGTAGGAAACAATCATTACAAATGCCAGGAATAAAAATGTCAGCAAATCACTTAAAGCTAATCCCTGACTTGATCCTCTTGTCTGAAACACAGCACTCCTTTCTTTTCTGCTAATGTTGACTTAGGACAGTCTCAGGAAAACAGAAGTTTACTAGGAGTGGGGTTTTAGTACTTCACAGATGTTCGAGTAGGTCCTGTGTTGGAGGCCTTGGCCATTCTGAGAATATCAGCAGAAAAATAAAAGTTGGGCATCCTTTATGGAACTTCGATATGGAACTCTAATTTGTCAACTTATCTATTCCTGCTTCATGTGAGGACACTGATTACTCCCCAAATTCAGAATGTTAGGCAGCTTTTCAACTAAGCCGCTTTCTCTAAGTTTTGTCACAGCTGAAGACCAAGAAGCCACTGTGTAATTAATATAAGAGAACATGTAAACACTATCAAGATTTCAGAATCACCAAGAAATCACCCCAAACACCTGACATTTCCATCACTATGTCTGTGACCTTGGATACAGCCAAGCTCCTAGGCCGTGGTTGGCAAACCACGGCTCACGAGCCACATGCGGCTCTTTGGCCCCTTCGGTGTGGCTCTTCCACAAAATACCACGGGCGGGTGCGCACGTACAGTGCGATTGAAACTTTGTGGCCCATGGGCAGAAGTCGGTATTTTGTGGAAGAGCCGGTATTTTGTGGAAGAGCCACACTCAAGGGGCCAAAGAGCCGCATGTGGCTCGCGAGCCGCAGTTTGCCGACCACTGGAGGAACCTCAGTTTCTTCATCTTTAAAATGAGGGCTTGGAATCTGTGATCCTCAAGATCTAAAAGCCAGGTTAAAGTGTACAATCCTATGTAAATAATTTATATCATTTCAGAAGTGAGAGGGCCCGGGCACTTAGAGACTGAGCCCAATACCTCCTTTTATTTCTTTTTTTTTTTTTTCTGGACATTTCATACAAATGGAATCATACCATATGAGGTCTTTTGTGACTGGCTTCTTTCCCTTAGCACAGTGATTTTCAACCTTTTTCATCTCATGACACACATAAACTAATTACTAAAATTCTGTGGCACACCAAAAAATGTATTTTTTGACGATCTGACAGACATAGGTATAATTTTTATTTCTTTAACTCTGGACAACTCTTGTTGTATTGGCTGTTGTCATTTTTAAAATTTGATTAAGCTAAGGGAAAAGAGGTCCATGCCTCTGACTAAATAGTTAGGTATTCATCCTATATAACCACTACTTTGTACCTTTTGTCCAACATCTCCCCTTTTCCCCCCACTCCCCACCTTCAGTCCCTCATAAGCAATCTTCTATGAATTTGAAGAGTCTGGTGTTCTTATTATCACTTCACAACTATTTCTTGGGCTCTTACCTTTGGTGACTCCAAATTACTCAATCATGGCTCCCTTAGGTCATCATGCCACCCTCCCCGGTGCAGAGCAGCATCTTTCACACAATAAGTGCTTAGTAAATGTCTTATTCTGCTGAAACTCTGTGTTTTTTGACCTCGCACTTTTCTCACATCTCACAGGAAGTTCCCTACAAAATTAATCTCTCAAATACATTATGGTAAGAATGTCGCTAAGCAACAATGAATGCAGCAATAAAGCATGTTCCCATTGGTAAAAGGACCAATATGTCCCAGTCCTCCTGTTCTCCAAGTCTCTGATTTTTCAGTGTAACAGAAAAGCATCAAGACAGTGATGACAGAGTCCATTTGTTTTTTTTAAAATATATTTTATTGATTTTTTTACAGAGAGGAAGGGAGAGAGAAGGAGATAGCGAGTTAGAAACATCGATGAGAGAGAAACATCGATTTAGCTGCCTCCTGCACGTCCCCCACCGGGGATGTGCCCACAACCCAGGTACATCCCCTTGACCGGAATCAAACCTGGGACCCTTGAGTCCGCAGGCCAGCGCTCTCTTCGCTGAGCCAAACCAGCCAGGGCGACATAGTCCATTTAAAACTGACTAACCCGCCTGACCAGTGTGGCTCAGTTGGTTGAGCATCATCCCATGCACCTAAAGGTCAATTCCAGGTCAGGGCACATGCCTAGGTTGTGGGCTCGTTCCCAGCAGTGTGTGTGCAGGAGGCAGCTGATTGGTGATGTATCTGTCTCATTGATGTTTCTATCTCTCTATCCCTCTCCCTTCCTCTCACTCTAAAAATCAGTAAAAAAAAAAGTTAAAGTTAGGGGGAAAAGGCTGTGACCTTTAAATTTATGGTACGCTAATTTAAAATCACACTTTTACAAGCCAGTTATTCACACACTATGCTTGGGGAGAAATTACTGTAGAAGTGACTAGCTGAAATCTATTAAACCTGAGGCTGGAGATTTGGTCAAATCAGAGAGCCTTGAGATTGAGGCCAAGGAGTGTGAGCTTTACGTGAAGGCAATGGACGCTGACCAGGGCATCCCACTATGGCACCACCTCCTCCCAAAAATTAAGATTAGATGAAGTACTACCATGATCAGTGTCTCCACATACCGGGTACCCTGTCTCATATTCATTGTGGGCACATCCAGTATCAGAAATGAAGAGGTCTAGATACATGTCAATAGTAGCTTGGCCCTCTGGTCTTGGGCAAAACTAAAATAAGGGGAAATTTATCTTTGCAGATGTGTCCCTGCACCCCTAAATTCCCAGGCCTTCGATTATATTGCTCTACTGTTCCTACAATTACCTAATCCAGGCTCCTTCTTCCCCAAAGACCCAGAATTAATTTTTTGCCTTCATCAATATTCCTGCTTCCTGTAAATCAGTGTTCCCCAAACTGAAATTTATTAACACACATCTCCTACATCTCTTCTGCATCATCTCTCTCCACCAAGATGTTTATGACTAACTTTACTTTCTATAGTTTTTATTAGGAAATCAATAAGTATGCTGAATATCCTTAAACAGCTCCCAGAGTAGATTCTGATCTGATCCTCCATCCCAACTCCTCTGCCCCAACACATCAAAATGCCTACTTTTCCTCATGCACCCACACTTTTTTGGTTTTTTTTAATATACTTTTATTGATTTTAGAGAGGAAGGGAGAGGGAGAGAGAGAAACATCGATGATGAGAGAGAATCATTGGTAGGCTGCTTCCTGCAAGCCCCTACTAGGGATTGAGCTCGCAACCCAGGCATGTGCCTTTGACCAGAATCAAACGCAGGACCCTTCAGTCTACAGGCTGACGCTCTATCCACTGAGCCAAACCAGCTAGGGCACTCCCACACTTTTTAAGAATCACTGCTATAAAGATTGAGAATCTGATTCACAAATGAAAAAGTTATCGTTCCCTGTTTTGTTCTATTATACGTAATGTTTTTTATCTATAATAATAAAAGTGTAATATGCAAATCGACCGAACGGCCAAACAGCAGAATGACTATCTGGACGACCTTCCAGACAACCTTCTGGACGAAGCCGGGGCTGCAAGGGTGGTCGAGGCAGCTGGGGCTGCGAAGGCCTACTCTTGCACGAATTTCATGCATTGGACCTCTAGTATTTTTATAAATATATAATATATATTTATAAATATTTATATTTCATATTTTTTTCTTTATTTCTTCAAGATAAGTCCCTAGGGGAGGAATAGTTGCCACAAAAGATGCAAACACTGAAGACTTTTGTTCCATCACCATCTGTCCTCCAGAAATGGTGCACCAATTTACATTCCTACTATTAACACAAGAGTATGTCTGTTTCCACACTTTATTTACTCTTGCTGTTAACATTTTTTAAAAATCTGTGCCAACTGTGGAGGTGAAAAGTGTCATTTCATTGTTTAGTGATATATGAATTCCAGTTCTGAGGCAAATGAGCCACACTCTGAACAAAGTCCCTGTTACACTACTTGGTGGAATTCAAACTACATGCAATTTAATTCTTCCTCACAATGTGTGCAGTACCACTAGCTGCCACCAGGTGGTGGTGGGCTCATGGGGGGGGGGTCTAAATTCACCAAAGATCTTGCCCTAAGTGTGGCCAGTTGAGTCTCTAAAAACTGTAATAACAGTAGATAGCTTTTATTGAACCTTACAAGGTGAGTTAGACCCTACACTAAGTGTTTAATATGCTGTATATCATTTAATCCTCCCCCAAATAGCTCCTGAGAGCATCATTCGTTACATTATAATCTTTTCTGTTAAAAAAAACTTTATTAAAGTACCAGAAGAAATTATACAACTGCTCTCAAAAGCAAATACTCAGAATTGCCAACACCTGGGGACCATTAATAGCCTGTTAACTAAACTGTTATTTAATCACTAGCTAAGTAAATCCAGAGTTACCAATTTACTTTGCTTAATTTTGTAGAACAGCAGGCCTCCCTGGGCCATGTGGTTGCAGTCTGCAGGGCTATAAAAGGGATTCTGGTGTGAGCCAGTGTACCCCAAAAGCCCCTACGGATTCCCAGCAACCTCGGAAGTAGGCTGTGTATCCCCACCAACCAATTATATTTCCCAGATCGGAAAAGTGAGGCTCGGTGACTAGCTGGCAGTCACACAAATAGTAAGTAGAAGAACCAGGATTCCAAACCAGGTCCTCCTCCAATGTCCTTACCACCCTCTGCTCTGCTTAGCTTTCTCCTTTCAGACCTCTAGTGCCTTTGCTCAACTTACATGTCGAACTGCAGAACAATCTAACTGTCATCAGAGAAAGGTCCCGAGGTAGAGCAACTTCAGCGGGAGCTGGGCCTGCTTCTGTCTGGCTCTCTTTGGTGGCTCTTCCTCCCCTCTCTCCATCCATCATCTCACCCCTCTATGTCTCAACCCTGGGTCCCTTAGCCCCTCACTCCCCACCCCCACCCAGGTGTACCTCTCTCACTCCAACCCAAGCTCCGAAATAATTTCCACTATTGATCTGGTAAGAACGTATGTTTGCAAAATAACTGTAGATATAATATGGAGCTTTAAAATGGTCCACTCCTCAAGGGGATGCTGGCATTCTGTTTGAGCATCTGACTGACAGTCCTAAGTAAACAAGCACTTCCCTAAAGAGAT